GGTAAATTTTTTCTAATTAGTTTTAGGATAGTTCATGGGTTAGCGTTCTCTTCTCTTTTTCATATGTGGCAAAGACAAGCCAAACCAGTCACTCGTCGCAAAAATCGATTTTGAGTTATTAATACAGTGTTAGAGAGTAAAATAATAGCTATAAAGTGGTAAAAAAATCATTCAAATCGAACATTTCCTTATGAAGTTACAAGCGTTTAAACATAGAGCTGTTTAAAGAACAATATATGAGAAATCAGCCTTCAAAGTTTATGATTTCAGGCATTTCTCATGCAGAAACTATCATCAAATCCTTTAAAAAGTGTTGTTTTAACATTGAAAATGAGGAAAATAACAGCATAGAATGATATATAGATATGTAAAGATTAGTTTAGTGCAATAAAATAGATTTTAATTCTATTCTAAAAAATAATTTTTAATAGATAAAAATTCCAGCATGTTTTGGCCATTTTCTCTGAAACACGATTTGCGATGAGTGACTGGTTTGGCTTGTCTTTGACACATATACTCTTAGTGCTTTGAGACGATTTTTAATTTGTGTAAGGCGCTATACAAGTCCATTTCCATAAACTTAATATTAACACAATTTGAATGCATATGAAAACAGTGCATTCTCTGCAAGGTGAATGTTTTGATTATTTTCTTTAAAAACCTGTTTCAACCTAGCTTAAAAAATGCAGTATAATAAGTAGTACTACAGAGTATAATATGAAATCTCCAGAATCTTACTTCATAATATCTTCTTGGCTAGGGTGATCTGCTTTAATCTTACAAACTCTGCCTTCATTCTCTGAATGGTTGCCACTGTCGCTGCTTGAAGACTGTTGGCTAAGCCTTGCTTTTAATTCAGTTACCTGCAAAACAAAAATGTCAAAGAAATCAATTTTAAGTACACTATAGTAAATAAATTTATTATTTATGCTATTAAAAATTAAATATAAATAGCATCATATTCGGCATCAGCTGAAATGAATAAAAAACAGTTATCTGCTAGACATCACCCTCATTTTACATCACAATTAGCAAAGCTTTTTAATACATTTTGAACATGACATTCCATTTAAGCACTGTAATTTTGTTCATGAAATGGACATCTGTTGAATAGAATGAAACAGACGAAAACTTACCTCCAAACGTAAATCAGCGATAATCTTTGTGTACTGAGTGACATGAAAATTAACGTTGACAACATTACTCTTAACCTGCAAAATATATGGGAAATAATCGATTGTTTAGCATATAAATGTTTTTCATATGCAAAATACAGGCACTTAACAAAAAAAAATAAAGACAATTATTGAAAGATTATGTTTACCTGTGATTTGATGTTCTTAGCTCTATCT